TCTTCAGAAATGTACCTAATCTTCAAGATATACCAGGATTCAATTAATTCTAATCAAAGTGATCAGAATATCCTTCAATAATACAATCTTCTTCAGACTTGGCCAATAGCTTTTCACTTCAAGACTCATAATTATTCAATATTTCATCTCTGAAATACTTGATGATTACAGACCCAAAAAAAACTCCAAATAATGAACTCCCTCTTACATGTTTTCTTGAGAGCTTCCTTATTCAGTTCCTCATAGCCCTTAAGAATCTTCCACACACTAAAGTAACAAACTTGCTAAGATGATGTTCCAACATCTTGTTCTCATTGAAGGAGTATGTAAGACCCTTTGAAGACTTTACAGATAATAGATTCACAAAAAATATATATCCTTCTATCCACCAGGACCTTCCCCTTGCATTTAACCAAACAAAACCATAAAATAGGTTTTAGAGATTTTGCAACTGTCTAATGTTGCATCTTTTAGTGTGACATCTTGACTTCTTATTTCTTGAACACCAAGTAAAAGGATACAATTAAATACTTGTGAAATTCACAAATAGCAATTGTTCTTAAATCCTTAGAGGAACTTCATACACCTTAATAGTGACATACAATTCATCATTTATGACATATACTTTCAGACCTTGATCACACAACTGACTTGTGTTTATTACAATAGTCACCAGTCCTTGAGTAAGAAGATAAACTAATTACCAAAATTTAGAGAATCCATCCTGAATTCTTTTAGTTATCCAATTCCCTTAAACTTCCTTTTTATCATCATCCACAAAGTAACATTTGATTAGAATGATACTTTAAAAAACTACCAGGAACACTTTTACTGCAGTTAAGTGTCTGAAACAGTTAGTGTCAAAATACCAATCATCTTAGTTGGAGACCTAAGAAAGGTATGAGAGATAAGTTCATTATCATATTCCCTGAGTATTAACCACTGCTTGGTTAAACAAAACTGAACTTGACCTTTAAGAAAGTAACCACAATTGTTAAGATCAACTTTTCACATAAGAGACATCTTTAGTGCAAGCAAATTCCTTTTAGCACGAGTAAGCAGAATGTCAAGTATAATATTATGACATCCTCAACTCAGCTTGCCTTTTGATAAAAACAACCTTTTGTAACTTTGAGTTTTCTCTTTGATAATTATCTTAGAAGAAAAATTATCCTCCTTAAACTTCCAATCATCTTCCCTCTTGAAGAAACTCCTCCAACTGATCTGGATTGTATTTACAAACTCGATTAAGACATCAAGCTTTAGGATTAAATAGAGTCACTTCACCTTGCAAAAACATAGATAGTAGATACTTCTTCATTATCTTAAGACATAAGATCAGAAATTAATCACCTCATATTTCTTCATAGTTGAAAACTCCCTTCATTCTAGATACAGATCATAGAATAAACAAAACTTCCAGATCATTATGAGATAAATCTTCAGTTCAAAAATATTCATAAGAAGTCCATCTTCCAGTCAAACCAGTAATATCCTTGGAAATCATAATCATGATCACTTTCCTAATTAAGCCAAGCATAGAAAACCTGCACAGTTGTCCTTGAGATAAGCAGTGCATTCTACTTCACAAAGATCCAAGGTCTTCACACTCCAATGAATGCTTAGACATTGATCTATACACCAATTACCGCCTTTCTTTTGGCATCACAAACCTGTTGAAGTCAGCACAGATGTTATAATATAAGGTCACGACATACTGTCAAATCTCTTCAAAAAAGTATTAAGAAACCATTCATCAAAAAACTGAACCAAGCTTCTACAGAGTTGGAAACAAAAGCCATGCTCTTGTTTTTCTTTAATAGTCGTAACTTCCATGTCAAATATCTTGAATAGAGACCTGACTATCTTCTTCTAGATCAACCTTTCTTCTGATATTTTTTTCCCAAAATACTAAGATGTGCTTTTATGAGTGGACTTGAGATTGTCCCAAGTATCTTTGGCCATAAGTGATAATGATTCAGAAAAAGAAACTTATCAATTCCATTGATAATGGTCTTGACAAATTCAAGGTTACATAGAGACAACTCATGCTTTACTCTTCAATCTCTTAAGAACCAGGATTCTTCTATCCTAATAATTTTTAAAAAAATAATGTTCATTGATAACCAGAATACAATCATTCCAGTCTTCTACAAGGAACAATAGTACCAAAAAATTACTCCCTGAAGCTCACTCAATATACCAGGATGCCTCCTCCGATACCAATTGAAATTTCTCAGGTACAGGCAACAGATGGAAATATTGATTTTTAACAACAGAACAATGTCAAGACAAATGTTACAACATCTAGTTTGAGATCCTGAACAGATTCATCAATTGATTACAAAATACTGAAACTTAAACTGCAGAATGATAAATTACACACAAAGTTGTTAACCCAATTTGGTGCAAACTCACCTACATCTGGGGGCTACCAAGTCATGAAGGAAGTTCACTATCAGCAGTATTAGTTCAGAGCTAAACTCCCCCGTTTACAACTTCTCGCCTAATCCCTATCCAATGCAACTTCTATCTAGGTCCTCTCTAAATATGAGAAATCACCATCTCACTTCCTAAATCACCTCAGTGATATCTAACAGTCCCAATTCCAGTGACTGTATTGAGTATAACTCAACGAGAATATCATACTTCCATTATAATACTTAGCCAATACTCTCGACCATGAACAATACTTAAATTTGCTTAAAAGTTTCATCCAAGAACAATACTCACTCTTGCTTCACAGCTTCGAAGAGAACATATTGTCAACCACAAGTATCAGGATATACAAGGGTAACTTACACCATACAATACACAAGAGACTCTCAAAATCTAAGACTCGTGCTTCCCCTAATTTTACAATTGTTGAAAACTTAAATTACATTAGGTTAGGATTCCCTTATAAATACAACTCAGTAGTCCATGATCTTCGATATTTTGAGTCCAAAAGTTTCTTGATCCATAAGTTGAATGATGCACCAATTATGTAGAAAATCTCCTTAAATATTGGAACAACCAATACATAATTTTCTAAGTTGTCTCAAGGCCCAATTTAGTAACTTTTGCACAGTTGGAGATACAAATTTGTTCCAAAACAAATTTGATGTATATTCAAACGAAAATATAATAGAATCAAATCAAATATGCCAAGATTTAAAAACAGCAGCGCAAGCCTGGTGCATAACAGAACTAGATGTTATGACATATTGTTCGACATCTGGTCAGAACCATGTTTTAGCAAAATGTTATCAATCCACAAAATCATGGTACTAACAACTAAAATCAACCAATCCACCGTTCTTTTCTACTAAGCTCTATGTAGCTTTGAGTTTCCCGTCACACTTACGGATACGTAGGAGCGAAATTCAAGGTCTTGTCAAGCACAATAATAAAAAACCTAAAAATTCTCCCTTTCTTTCTTTCTTTCTTTCTTTTCATAACACATAATAACTAGAAGAAACAAATAACATAAGCTAACACTCTATTGCAAAACTAACTAAATAATTCTCATTGAGTACAACAGATGTAAGTGGTGCTAATATTTTCCCCTTGCATAACCGACTCTTGAACCTGAATTTGATTACGACGATTAATTTTCATTTTTTTTTGGGTTTTATTGATATTTTTCCTTTCCTTTTGGAATACATAAATTTCGGTGGCGACTCTGTTGTATTTCGAGTGTTTTATTACACTCGATTATTTTTTTCGCGACACGACAATAGGGATGACCACACTGAGGACTTAGTGGCAGTCTATTGGCGTATTGCAGACATGAGGAGATCTCAGGCATATAAATTAGACTTTTTGATGAAGATAGTCTGCAGTTGGCCCTCATAGAAGGCATGATTGCTGGGGCATTAAATATCTTGAGTACATGCGAAGGAGAAGACAAACAGTTATACAAACCTAATAGTTTATGTTTAATTGTACTTTTTTAAATTTTTGAAACAAGTTATGTAAGATCAATACATTTTGATAATTATACGACTTTTCATAACTGTGTAGTGAATTTGAATCAATTAATATACTGTGTAGTAAGTTTGAATCAATTAATATGTTTTTTCTTCTAATTTATGAACTAAAATAACCTAAATTATGTTGGCCTCAAAAAATATTTGAAATTTATTACAAGATTGTTGCTTAGAAAGCATTTGGGTTCCAGATATGATTTTCTAAATACATTCAAATAATATTTGAAGATACATCTCCGTACTATATTTGTTCAAAATAAAGTAGATATCATAAATACAAAAAAATTATGTGATTCTAAACATACGAAGTACATTTTTTAATTTTCCAATAAGGTGGATATCAGAGATATAAAATGCACCCACAAGAATAGAAAGAACATATCACTTTACATTTTCCTATCCTATTTTTATTTTGTTTCAATGGATCTATAATATTGTGTTTGATAACATATAGAAATATAGTTTAGTTATATTTAAATTTATATTTTTGCTATAAAATTTGTAATATATATATCGACATTTGGTCGTAGAAGTACTATTTAGTTACTCTTTTAATTTATAATAAAAATGAAATCCCAAAATAGTTTCTCCGATTTTCAAAGTATTGTATACCGACTTGAAAAAATTCTACTCCTCTCAGTACTTTAAGCTCAGTCAACTATATCCATACACATAAAAGAAGAGTCATAAAATTGGCACTCCACTGATAAATAAAAAGTAACCGAAAATAGCGAGAGCTAGAACAAGAATAAAGAAGCAGGGTGGAATTTTACTTTAAACTCGTTAAAATACATTGATACACAACACAAGCAAGGACACAGCTATAATATTGGCATTCCATTGAAAAATAAAAAAGTAACCAAAACTACAAGAGCTACAACAAGAACAAGCATGCAGTGTTAAAATTTACTATACAAATAAAATTAAAAATAAAGCCAACAAAAAAAAAAAGTGGAAAAAGAAATATAAACAGTTCTATACTACCATACTACCAGTTATAGAAAAGCAAGTGCATCAGAAATATATCACTCAATGCTCTGCTTTGACCCTAGCATCTCCATTGGGCAATAAATTTTGTGCCTGTGCCAAACGCTTCATTTCCTACATAGATCCAATAAGGCAAAGATTAGTGCTAATAAAAAATAAGTAAACGTTGTAAAATCTTATAATTAACTCAAGGACTTAATTTGGCCAGAGTTATAACCTTTTTGTTTGATTTGCAGTGAATTCCATAAAACAAAAACAAAAATACTACTGTAAATTTCATATAACATTACTAGTGATACGCATCAAGCACCAAACAGAGTAGGGGACATATTCAGATATAATGGATGCAAGATTTTCCCAAAATAAATAAAATCTCCTATCTTTGTTGAAAGCAAAATGGTGAGAACCCAAAGATAACTAATTAGGAATGCAGAACAAGAGGAGGCTTGTAAACCTAGGATTATCAAATTGCGGCAAACTCTATGCTGTCCCTTGATTAGGTATTAATATGAAGTGTTGTCAAATAGCAGGTATAGCAGCACTATAGCTTTGTAGTGTAGCGGAATGTGAACAAAATACTTTTTCCCCATAATTTAGGATTGGCAACGGTGTGTAAACCCCATAATAGTTGCATTATCCTTTTTCTGTATTTTCTTTTTCAGTGTCTTGGAAGTTATAAATATTTCTTCTCCGCAGATTGATGTTACTTGCTAGCTTCCATCATCAGTCAAGGTGAAAAAAGTAGCAGAAATACGAAATCTGGTTTCTATTTGCATATCAGAATCCAGGGTGATGTATTGTAGGATCATAAGCAGACAGAAACTAATCATTACAACAAACTTTGAAGAAGGAAGTGAGGGAATTAAATGGGCGTAGGCTTGAAAGGCTACCAGATAAAGCCATCAATCACTTTTCCATTGGAAAAACAATGTAGAAAAGAAAAAGATGTCAAAATCATAGATCACTTATAGGATCGGCATCAAGAACCATCAGATCCCACCTAACACAATTTATTAAGAATTACATATAACGGATCTAATCTAACAAGTGAGAGCATGACACGTGCAAAGCGCTAATGCTGGCTATACAGCCCATATATGGATCCGTTCATGTATGAGAACCAATGGCAAACTTAGCCCTTCTTACACTCAGCACATACACGCTCACTATACACACAAATAAGGCATAATCAAAGAAAGATATTGTTGTGTACCCGTATCACCGCAACTTACAGAATATAGAGGAAATGGATAAAAAATGCACAAATACTAGAAAAGTGGTGTATTATTTATGTAAATGAAAGATAACTGCAAAAGGATGAATATCCTAATGCCCACAGAGCCAAGAACAATATTTGCTGTCCATAACCTACACAAATGATTTCCCAAAGATACCTCTTCTTTATCCTTCAACCCCTATATAACAAAATCAACCCTTTCTCTTTTCTCTCATGTAACTAACTTCTGTTTATCTAATTCTCCTATTTGGATGACTCCAAATAGGCCTAGGAGAATTGGGCCTACACATATACATCAGGTACCTAACAGATATGAAGCCACAAGCATCATAGGACAAAAAGGGATATTTAACTATTTAAGTCTTGGAACACCCAGAAAAAAGGAATGCAACAACTGAGGTGGAAGAACCAAAGGTTCAGTGAGGGAAAACGACTACAGTAAAAAAAACTCCTCAAGTTTGGGATGTCGTGAAAGTTATGGACTAGACAGGGAAAAAAATCATCTGCCCAATACATAAACCATTTTTATACGGGCTCAGATGAATTCTTAGAAATGCATATAATTCGCCACTGATTGCAGCAAAACTTGTCTAAGCAGAGACCAAGATTGCAAAAGTAGGAGAAATATGTAAAGTAATGTAATTCAAAGGAAGTTTCAATAGAAGACCAAATAAGTAACACTTACCGCAGCAGAAGCAGCACGACTCTCTCTAAATGTTTCAACCTCATCAGGGAAGTTTACCTCCAGTTCCTCCAATAAATGCTTGCGCAAATTCTGCCACAAACAGAAATACCAAGTTGAACTAAAGCAGCTCACTAAATATACGGGAAGACAACAAAATGTGAACAAAAAGAGCATGTTTATCAAATAAAAATTAAGAATCCTAATCAACCTTTAAAGCATCAGTCTTTCCTTTGGTGATCTGATTCTTTGCAATACAGTTGTTGATAATATCTTTCGTAAACTCATCCGGATTCTTCCCATCATCAATTAAACTAACACCACAAAGAAGTGAACAGTTAAAATCAAGTTAAAAGAAATCGCTTAAACAAAAACATAGAAGTACATAAAGGGGTAAAAAACTTACTTTACAACCTCCATAGGAACCTGAATGTTACACTTTTCTGCCAATTTGACCATGTTGTCAAGCTCAGCAACAAGACCATTGCTGGACGAAAAAAAAAAAATACAAAAAATATCATTAACTCGGGACATGGACGAAAAAGTAAAACAAAATAAAACATGGCAAAGGGATCTTGAGAAATACATGCGTTGTAGGAGTGGCATTTGAAAGGCAGCATTGAATGTAGAGACGGTAAGATAAAGCTGATGGATAAGGCCCAAGGTTTTCTGAATGGAGTTGCTGATCTGGTTCAGGTTTTGCATAGAATCATCAGCTCCTGCAGCAGAAGCTGCAGTATCATTAGTTTGAGAGATCGGCGTCCCGTTTCCCCCAGTAGATGGACTTTGTGATGAATCCATTTGTGGTTCACTGTAAACTGGAAATTTTTTTAAGAGATTCAATACAGAATTCAAAAAACTAACGACGCAAAAGACTAAGTATAATGCTATTGTGAAATAGGTCATATAAACTTGCAAATCAAATTGGGGAACATGAACGAAAATGAAAGAGCACAGCAAAGCGAGTTCTCTCAATCAACCTATTATCAATCGCACCGCTTTAGCGCGCGATGGTGGAATCACGGTATCACGCAGTTCAATCACCGGTGGTTTTCTTAGAGGAACGGCTATCGCGGCCGCAAATCGTGACTGAATCGTGTCATCACATGCGCAACGGGAGAATGGAAGAAAAAACAGAAAATAAAATGTAAAGGAGGAAAACCTGGACGGAGTTTCTCGGTGTTTATGGTGGCCGACGACCGGCACCGGTAGCGTTTTCCGGCGAGTTGAATTCAGTGTATAGTGTACGCGATTTGTTTCTTGAAGCTGTTTAGATTTGATTGTGTTTTGTTTAATATAGTAGTTGTGCTAAATGAAATAACGCATAAATAAAAATAGAAAAGTTTTAAAAATATTATAAAAGAAATTACATATAGCATTACAACAATTAAGTCTCCAAGCTTGTTGCAATTATATTCACTTTAATTCTCCTAAAGTATAGAAATTCCAGCAAATGATATATTTGCATTTTCAATTGATTAGTCATGATATATATTTAGATGACAAACATAATTTAGAGTCAATTGATCTACTAACAAATTTGTCTATTATAAATTGTCCGTGTAAATTTTTTTAAATTTAAGAAGTGTTTTAGTGTAATTTTTTTTTAAATATATTAATAGAATTTTTTATATTAGTTGTTTTTTCATATAAAAATAGAAATAATGTCAAGTTAAAATCAATTATTTTTTGCTATCAGCTACAATTAAGTCTCCAAAGCTTGTATTGCAACCATATCTTTATTATAATGGATCCAAATATTTTTGTTCAAGTTAAAATTAATTGGCTACAAAGAGATAACATTGGTATAGCTACACATTTAGCATGTTTTAATAGATTGAAATCCTTCCAAAATGTGGAGTCAAGCTTCAGTTGAATATGTTTTTGATGGAAATAAAGTTTTTTAGTATAAAAAAGATAAAGATAAATTTCAAGATATAAAATTTTGTTTAAGACTTTGGAATCAATGAAATTAAGTTTCAAGAAGATATAATGATAATACTTACCTTCATTAAAGTTTTAGATGTTCAATGGTCAAATACTCAATACATACCTCATTCATTTCCTCATAACATAAACACTTAGGAAAAAATTTCATTTTCACTATATGTAAATCGATTTGCACATAACAACAATCAACTTGTACATGTGTCATGCCTAATTTTTTTCAGTGCAAATATATTTGCACGACTAACCAATTGATTGGTGCTTTGAAAATTTTCATTTTTTGCACTATGCAAATCAGTTTGTATATTATGCAAATCGATTACTTACTGAAGGCTTTCAAAATTTTGTAACGTTGCACTATGCAAATCGATTTGCATGTAACAACAATCGATTTGTACCTGAACGTTTTTGAAAAATAGTAGCTTTTTTAAACACCTTTTCATGGTTACTCTTCAAGAAACCTTTTCATTTAAACTTTGCATTTGTTCATGATATTTTTCTGAACATCACCATCTTTCTAAAAGGTGTCTTACTCATAAAAACTAAGCATTTTCAAATTACAAATTACCTATTCCAATCAAACACTTAGACTTTCAAAATTCACATTTCAAATATTCAATATTTATTCAAAAAAAATTCTACAAACTTTCATATCCATAGAACTAGAAAATTCTTGAGCATTTTAAACTTTAATATTTGTGAATTATTGTTATTTGAAGGGAAGATCGTTTACATTGATATATCACTTAAGAATAAAAGTGATTGATAAATATTCAAAAACTTTATTTTCTTATATATTTTCCAGAATTGTTTTGTATACCTTGTTATCCAGGATTGTTGGAAACGAGAGAGTAGAAAAGAAAGGATCGTTTTCTTTTTCTACTTGTTTGGTTTGTATATCTTGCTGTCGATGATTGTTGGAAGCAAGAGAGATGAATTGGAGAGGATTGCTCTCATTTAACTTGTTTGATCACAAGAGGATTATTCTTGGTGATTTTGTTAGATAGGAAGACTAGGAGGGTCTTGTCCATAAGATCTAACAATAATAAAATCTCTTACACGTGGTAAGGGGACTAGACGTACTCTTGGATTGTGAGAACTAGTATAAATTTCCAGTGTTCTTTACTTTTTCGTATTTACCCCTTTCATCACATATCAAAATCTGAAAAGAAAGAAACACATTTCTAAAAATCATAAAAGTTTTATTACGCCTAATTTACCCCCCTCTTAGGCACACTCTTAAAATTACAGGTTACTTTCATTGATTCAAGAGGATGGTCTGAAGATCAAGTTTGAAGGTTGTTGATTCCAAGTGTTTTTGCTCAGTTTATTTGACCCTTGTATTTAGCCATGTTTTGTTTCCTTGTTTTGGATATGTGATGAATTGTTAACCTTATGACTTTGTTTCCAATAACAAAATTCAGATGTTCTGGTATTATGTTCAACATTTGTGCTTATGATTGATGTTTTTTTACTCCTGACTAATATGATCACTAATTGTACTAATATCTTTGTCAAATAGTGGCAAAAAGGGGGAGTAATGGTGTGTATGGTATACTCTTATGGTGTAACTACTGACTACTTTCTCACTTTCTGGTATATTCTGCCGATATATGTTGTTAATTATGTGTGCTTAGTACTAACTAGCTGGTACTATTTGTTCAAACTATTGTATATTGTGTGCACACACGTTGAAGCATCTAGCATGGCATCTGTGTGTGTGTGTGTGTTGATCTCTTTGTGTGTAGTAGTATCTTTTGAGTTGTGACTATGTCTACTAATTGTGTATGCTTGCAATATTGACTGATCATGAGTGATTACATGTCTTGACTGTTTATGGGAGCATCATTGAGTGACTGATTGACCGACTGATTATTTCAACCACTTGATTTCTGACTTGTGCTACTGACTTCTGCTACTGATGTGTTACTCTATTTTGTACTTTATACTTCTTTTGCTGATGATAATTTCTACGTGTGTCTCTGTGTGGTGTGCTTAATGGTCAACATTGGATGCACATCTTGTATGTTTTTTGCAGGATTGTTTTACCAAAAATTTTCAAAAGTGGAGATTATTGTTCCTTTTAGGTTGACTTTATTATACAAAATAATATGGTATGTTCAAGTTGTTTGTGAAGAAAGGATATATATGGGAACAGATGTCCCAACATGTGTGCAACATCTGACCTTTGTTAGTAGGCCAATATATATCTTTTCTACGCGTTATTTTATGGTTGTTTCAATGAGATTTGTCTATATCTTTTAACAATGCATTTATGTAGATTTGTTTGATTAGATTGAACATGATCAAATTAATTTAAAGGGTTAAATATGTGTTTGGTCCTCCTAAATATCTCATACTTAATTTTTAGTCCCTCTAAAATTTTCCTTCAAAGAACGGTCCTCCTAAAAAATTTAATTTTAACTTTTGGTCCCTCATGGAAAAATTATCGTTAAAATGGTCCTTAATTTTGTCGCTAAATAAAAAAATGTTACTAATTTCGTCGCTAAATAAAAAATCGTCACTAACTTTGTCGCTAAATTGTAAAAACCGTAGCTAAATTGCAGGAGGGACCAAAAGTTAAAATTAAAATTTTTAGGAGGATCATTCTTTGAAGGAAAATTTTAGAGGGATTGAAAGTTAAGTATGAGATATTTAGGAGGACCAGAAATATATTTAACCCTTGTATTTAGGCATGTTTTGTTTCCCTGTTTTAGATCTGTAATGGATTATTAACCTCATGGCTTTGTTGCCAATAACAAAATTCAAATGTTCTGGATTATTTTCAACATTTGTGCTTGTGGTTGATGTTTATTTACTCCTGACTAATATGGTCACTAATTGTGCTAATATCTTTGCCAAATTATGGGGAAAAAAAGGGAGTAATGGTGTGTATGGTATAGTTTTATGGTGTGACTACTGACTACTGTCTGACTTTCTGGTGTATTCTGTTGATATTTGTTATTGATTTGGTGTGCTTAATACTAATTGGCTGGTACTATCTGTTCAGACTATTGTTTATTGTGTGCACACATGTTGAAGCATCTGGCATGGCATCTGTGTGTGTGTGTTAATATCTTTGTGTGATAGTAATATCTTGTAAGTTGTGACTATGACTACTAACTGTGTGTGCATGCAACATTGACCGATTATGATTGATTTCATGTCTTGACAGTTTATGGGAGCATCATTGAGTGACTGACTAACTGATGTGTAACAACCACTTGATTTCTGACTTGTGCTACTGACTTATGCTGCTGATGTGTTACTTTGTTTTGTACTTTATACTTCTATTGCTGATGATAATTTCTATGTGTGACTCTGTGTGGTGTGCTTAATGGTCAACATAGGATGCACATCTTCTATGTTTTTTACAGGGTTGTTTTACCAAAATTTTATCAAAGTGGATATTATTGTTCATTTTACGTTGACTTCATAATGTAAAACAACATGGTATGTTCAAGATGCTTTTGTGAAGAAATGACGCATGAGAACAAATGTACCAACACTTGTGTAACTCCCTAGACTACCTTCGAGATTACCGACTGATCCCATAAACCAACACATATCTTTTCAGCGTGATTTATCCTCACTCGCACGCTTTCTGGGAAACTTCCCAGAAGGTCACCCATCCCAAACTCTAAATTTCCAACCAAAACAATATCTCATGAATTCATAAAATATACACATAAATTGCCCATCATTCAAACTCAATTCACATCATCAATTACACCAATTAATCACAATTTATCAACAATTTCATCAAACATTCAATCACATAAAAACAAAATATACAACTATGATAACCTAATCACTACCATAACCCATCATTATGCAATCCGTTTTATAGAGTC